TGTGTGTGTGTGTGTGTGTGTGTGTATACAGGTACCCATGCCACACAAGAAGAGGTCAGTCTCCAGTACTTTCCTCTGTTACTCTTCACTTTGTTTTTATTGTTTTTGATACAGGCTATCCTATTGAACTTACCTCTTACCTATTCAGTTAGACCGATTAGCCAGTGGTCCTCCGGGGATCCTCCTGTTTCATCCTCCCCGACACTAGAATGATGAGTGTATTCTACCATCCTAGATTTTATGTGGGTGCTGGGAATAGAATTCAGGTTTTCACAGATTTCACAGGAAACACGTTGTCAACTGAGCTATCTCCCCAGCCCTCTCGTCACATCTCCTCTTCACCCTGACACCTGCCATCTTCTAAGGATATTTGTGATCACATTGGACCTATCCAGGTGGCCCAAGATAATCTCCTGTTCCAGACATTTTATCTCAGCTGTGGTTCTCTTTTGTTGGGAATGCTGCCACATTCTCAGGGAATAGGATGTGGACCTTTTGGAGGGGCTGTTATTCTGACTACTACAGAGATCTGAGCCTGACTGATGAGGGCAGATGCATAGGGACAGGCTTGAGTGTCCACCTTGAACAGAATCAGGAAACTCAGTGGAAGGGTGCTTCAGATGCAGAGGGCTCTGATGTAAGCCTTGGGGGTGGGACTGGAACATTGAGACCCCAGTGGGCCGAGAGAAAAGTTTTGGTGAAGGAAATGTGGGGTGTTTTGGGAGGTACTGAGTATGCTGGTCCAGATTTCTTTGGGTTCTGACGCCAGGCAGGGCTACCAGGCAGGGCTAACAAGGTACTCTGAGAGTCATGTATATCAGCTGAGTCATTTCTTTGGAGGAGGTCCGCACCCTCAGCCAGGTCTGCCTTGGATCACCTCCCAGCATCCCCCTTTTACATGCTTCTTAACGAGCGCTAAGATAGAAAGGGAATAAATCACACCCAATCCTTATATGAGCATTTTCATTGTCATCCCCTGCAGCTGGCAGTAACAGGGAGTACATAAAAGTGACATCTAGGAGCTGGAGGGCCTTGATTCAGAGGGGTGCTCAGCCCTGAAGTTTGGTGGCCAACGTGGGCCCTACTTCTGCAAGAAAACTGCACAGCCAGCTGCTTCTAGAGAACCCAAGAGACGACAGAAGGCGTGCTAAGTCCCCAAGGATATACCTTTTGGTTCCTGTCCCCATCAGCATGTTGGAGAACAAGACCTGGCCGGGGGCAGGGAGGGGGAGCAGAATCTTCTTTTCTCTGATTTCCTCCCCTGACCCTGTCTTACGCTGGCAGATAGGACCGGTGGGGATACAGCAGCTGTTATGAAGGTCTCAGCACTTTTTGTTGCCAGAATCCCAGGCTCTGTACCACCTGGTTTGGGGCTTTGGGGAGTATTGAAGTGGGAGCAATCTAGGCCCTGGACTAAGTCATCACTTGCCCTCTAGTGTCCCTTTCTCCCCCCACCCCACTTCTCTTTAAGCAGTAGCCAGACTTCTAGGAGCTTCTCGGATCGCTGAACCCCACTTATGCTTGAGTCTGCCCAGAGGTCCACAAGGATGCCGGCATCTGATCTTTGCCGGTTAGCACCCTCGGCTCTTTTGTTGACTAGTAGTCTGAAAACAGGCAGTTAGTTAACTAATCCCAGGCCTGACGACTCCTGCCAAAGCCATTGCGTCTATCTGGTCTGGGATTAGTCTCCTAACCACAGTCACTTCTCTCCCTGCCCCTTTCCAGTTAATTCTCCCATGGCACAATTAAAACACACATCAGAGCACATCTTGTCTGTGCAGACACCCAGTAGCTCGGCTTTTCCCCTAGAACAGAATCCAGCTTTCTCCATGTAGTGGTCCAGGCTCTGCCCCACCCATCCCTTAAGTCTTACTTCCTCCTCTTCCTCCATTCCCCTTCCAAGTGTTCTTTAGCTTTCATTCGTGTTCCCACATCTGCTGGCAATAGTCTTCCCACAGATCTCAAATGGGTCCACTCCCTCCCTCCCTCAGGCCTCCTCCGGTCAGATATGTTGCCGAGGATCTCTCTAACGCCGCACCTGAAGTTCCCCTTCATTTATCTTCGGGAACCTATAGTGGTGTACCCATGTTTCTCTCTCCCGACACACACCCCATCCAGGAAGGTCAGGTCCACAGGCGTTGGTGTTCTGTTTCGTTTACCTTTATGCCCATAGTTCCTGGTCCAGGGTAGCTAGTTCATAAACTTGGTTGAATGACTAGATGAAGGGATTGTTTACATCTCAGATAATGATTAAGCCTATTATTACATGACGGGAACTGATATGTAGATAATGCTTATTCTGGGCTCCTAGAAACTCACAGCCTCCTGAACAGAGATAAGGAAATACATATAGCTTTAGCAGACTGTGATCAGTGCTATGAATGAGGTATGCATAAAGTACCATGAGAACGCAAGTGGTAAGATGGTTTTTCCTCAAGGTCTAAGGAACTATAGAGAGACAGAGATGGATTTGAACTTGAGTTGAACTCATCAGTTGAAGGGCTCTGAGTTGCCCTTAGTGCTAATTGCTGATACATCTTCAAAATTGACTATAACCACCATGGCTAAATCTGCCTGGATTTTCAAGGATTCCCACACTTCAAAAAGCTCATGGAAAGATGTCAGAGTCTAATACTAGGTCCCAGAAACCACTGGCCTCCCCAATCCTAAACAGGACCCAAGATAGGCAGCTACTGCTCTAAAGGCCTTGTCAGAAGAAACCTCTCCAAGAGCTTCCAACTGTAGTTCCTACAAGTATTGTAGTAGCTGATGGTAACCCAGGGTTCTGGCCTCTGGATACAAAGATTTGTTCAGTTGTACCAGTATAAATGCAGAGGCTGGGATGAAGTTGCCAGAGAAGGCTCTCTTGGCTGCAACTGGCTCCATGGGACTTCTCTGGGACATCCCATGCCTCATTTGAGTTGGTTCAGTTCAAACATGTTGGTCCAAGCATGCAGGTGGTATTAGTTCTCCAGCATCAAAGACATCCTTGACAGTCAGCACTTGGACTGCTCCCTGGAAGCAGCGATGCTGCAGGGAGAGGCCTCTGCTGAGGTCCATAAGCAAAAGCCATTAGGTAAAGCACCCTAGCTGCGTCTGCCTAGGAGAAAGGCTGTGCCTGTGTAGCCCTGCCTAACAGGGATGGACCCTGAAAACAGCACAAGCCCTGAACAGACGGATGCATTCACATTTACGCCTTCCATTTCCCAGGGGGTTTCACACACGTTATTTAATTTCGTTCTCACGGCGGTCCTATGAGGTGGAACAGTCATGTATTTTATTGTTTTTATTAGTATTTTTCCCATTACAGTTTATTATAGAAATTCTGGAACGCATCAGAAGGCACAATGAACACTATAAAGATCACGTGTAATCATAGCCTGTGAAGATGTATCTTTCTGCCCATCCCCCCCAAGGCGTAAAGACATAAACAATCTATACAGCTTTCTGTCTTGGTGGTGGCAGCTAAAATTGGCTCCAATTCCTATACTATTGCCCATGTAAGTATGTCTGAAAATTTCTAGATGGGCTCATAGACTCTCTTTTCTATTCCATAAAGTTCCTGAGTTGCAACCCACAGAGACTCAGGCTAAAACTGAAGCTGTTGGGAAACATGGATTATCACATTGAATAGAGCAAAAGCTGCAGATACAACCTCACAAACGACAGACACCTAAGTATCATAAACCACAGACAGTAGAGATCCTAATGTCACTTCGATTAACGGACACTTCAGGCTCCATCAATCCACTCAAGAGCCAACCCCCAGGGAGAATACCTCATCGCTCTAGAGTGTCTTACCTGTTTACAGCTTGGCCACGGATGACAGAGCACCCAACTTGACAAGGCAAGCACCGTATTCAGGGGCAGACACCATCCTTTTGGAGGTCAAATTGGATTTTAATGTATTTCCAATAATCAAGAGAACAGCAATTTGACTTCGGATTCATCTACTATCTTTTTAACCACTCATCTGTGGGGGGAGACAACTTTTAGTACATGTCTTTCTTTCTGTGGACTATACTAATTCTTTAAGTTCACTTGACTCGGAAAACTCCTACTGACCATTTTGCTTTCAGATCTCAGTTTTTATTTTATTTTTTTTACTGTGAGGCATGTTCCATGGCTGCCAATCATAACAGTGCTTTCCCTCTATTTACTTAAAAAATGTCATATTTGTCTTCTTACACAAGCAGAAAATTCCCCGAGAGCTTAACTACCCTTGTTATGCAGGACCCAGCATAGGAGAGGATTTGCCTGAAGAAGGGTAAAAGGAGAACCAGAATTGGCCTCAGAGGGAAGACATATGGTGTCGGAAAACAGGGAAGGATGTAGGTACAGAAATGAGCGTGTGCCACACACCAACAAGCCCCCACCTCAGAGCCATGGGATGAAACATCGGCACATGGTACGCGTTGGCCAATATCCATACAATAGCTTCAAGCAATTGTCTAAACTTTAAGCCTTTGCATTTGAGGAGGCTAGGCTATCCTGCAACCCTCAGTAAGCCTGTCCTACATCCCGTCAGAAGACAGAAGTGGGGCGTTGCCTCATATTTTCAGTCATCTGAAAAAAATCCAAGAATGTGGAACGCAAAGAAGAATGCATGGACTCTGACAACCTGTGCCAAAAATAAGTGCCCCACCACGTGAGGCTCTTGGATTAAATTGATTACTTTATGCCCATAGCGCTCAGCAAACTGTGTGACAGTCACCATCAGCGCGAACATGATAGGTCTTCTCAGGTAAAATGATAACAAGAGATAACATTTACAAGATGCCCCTACGTGCTAGGCACTATGTAAGCCACTTTCCATAATCAATCTCAGTTAACACCTATGCAGCATGCCGTGGCCTGCTGTGGTCAATGGCGATTGCACCCCCTCCAGGATTACTTCCTCTCCTGCAGCGGCTGGTTAAAAACTACACTTCCCAGAATGCCTTGCAGCTTATAGTCCTCGTGTGATTTTGATTCATCCATTTGGAAGTGAGAACCGGAACTCCTCATTGAGCTAAGTAGGGTGATGAGGAGTTTGAAGTGTGCTGTTCGGTTTTCTGATGCATACTCAGATGGTCTAACAGGTAGACTCTGGAGTCAGCGGTGGTAATGACAGATTCCAAATCTCTCCGTTTCCCGTGGTCTTGGATTGCTCCTGTGGTGAAGGGATCCTGCGTTCAGAAGTTTGGACAGTGGCCTCCTATTTCCCCAGCTTTCTGACTGGCAGATGTAAGTGTCTTCCTAGTTGACTGGTAAAGTGATGGCATTTTGGAACTTCTTAATATTGGCTGAGGCTAGAGTCTGTTTTCTGTGTCTTTCAACAATTGTATAAGTACCTGGTCCCCTCCCTATATTCAGCCCTTCTCTGCTTAAAGAACTTTACGTGTTCGTGTTATCTCCAGTGAAGCCCAATGCAGCCATTTTATGGGTGGAAAAACTAAGGCAGAGAATAATTCCACGCATCCTCTAAGATTGTAGGACCAGTGTGTGTGGAAATGGGATCTGAGCTCTGGAAGTTGGCTGACTTTGCTGGGTGGTTGACACCCTTTATACTTTCATCCCTAACTTCGAATCCACACTCTCTATGTGTTATAAAATATGTTAAACTCCAGAGATGTGGAAGTTATGCAATCTTTCTTCTAGCTCTCCTGCTTTGTGATGGACAGCACGGGTAACCACAAGTACATTTAAATTGCAGCGTGTCCTGTTACTGGTTTGCATGGGAAAGAGGCATGTAGTATTTGAAAGCACACAATGTAAATCAAAAGCAGGTTGTCAAAGAGCTGGCGGCTAAAGGGATTCATTTTGAAAGTTGATTGACATATGATCCAGTGGAAATATTGATAAGAACAAATGGAGGGAGCTAGGAAGAAAGGAAAGAAAGAGTTAGTAAATAGGCCGACATCCTTCCCTTTCATGGAACTCTTTGATGGGTCTCCTGGCTACCCCATAGTCCCCAGACCAGCGACTTTAAGTGACTTCGTCACATCCGTTCCCGTTTGAGACTCTAAAGAAAAAGGTAAGCCATGAGCAGGGAACTTGAAAGGAATGAGCGGCCCCACTGGAAATTCCTTTCTAGTGCTGAGCAGATAGGACTTGGTGACTGGGTCACGTGAGACCTCTGATCACTGCTGACTGAGGAAGAAAGCCCTAGAGAAGCGAATGAGATTCCCAGTAGAGGTGTAATCTGTTGGCGGAAGGAAGACCCCCGAGACGTGAACTTCTGATGAAGCTACAGGAGGAGTGGGGCCAGGCCTATGCCTCAGGAAGGAATTTCAACTGCAGGTTTGTTTCAAAACTGAGAGTGACTTGAAAGAAATACCCTCAAAGTTAGGGATAAAACCGGAGCCAAACAATCAATAATAATGAATAATTTTGGAGACAAGCTCAAAGTTTCCTGAGGGACAAACTTTTATTTTCTTTAAAGATTCACACTTCCAGGCTACAGAAACCTCTCTTTGACGTGTAGTTATTTAATCCACAAACTAGATCTCCTTGGTACCCAGATTCACAGGCTATGTGCTTTTCCCCGAGGTGATGCAAAGGTGTTGTGCCCTAATTACTGGCCAGGGAAAAATAAAAGCTCATATGAGCCTTGGGTTTATGAATCTATAGATAAAACTGGTATTGACAGTACAAATTCTACAGAAAACCAACAAGAAAAATTAATAGGAAATCATTTAAAATTTTTTATTACATTGTATATTATTTAGTTTGCTTGCATGGGTATATGTGTCTCAGAAGGCGTACACATATGAAGTCAAAAGACACAACTTTTGAGAGTTGGTTCTTTTCTTCCATCACATGGGTCCTAGGGATCAAAACTCAGGTAGTCAGGGGTTGGCAGCAGGCACCTTTTATCCACTGAGCCATCCTGCTGAGCCATATTGTCGACCTATCTAATAGGAGATCTTGAGACAAAGGTGGTATAGTAGTCAGGGTTCCCCAGAGGAGCAGAACTAATAGAATGAATCACTTTATGAATATAAAAAAGAGATTTATTAGAGAACCTTACAGACTGTGGTCCAGCTAGTCCAGCAGTGGCTGTCCACCAACAAAAAGACCAAGAGTCCAGTGGTGTTCAGTCCACAAGGCGGGATGTCTCAGCTGGTCTTCAGTATATGCCATAATCTCAAAGAAATAGGCTAACGCCAGTGAAGGGATGCACTTACCAGCAAGAGGAAAAGCAAGCAGGCAAAGAGAGAGCAGGCTTCCTTCTTCCATGACCTTTATATAGGCTGCCAGCAGGAGGTGTAGCCCAGATTAAAGGTAGAAGATCCCATCTCAGAAGATCCAGATCAAAGGTGGGTACTCCCACCTAAAATGATTTAATTAAGAACAAACCCTCACAGGTGTACTTGTACCCGGCCGCTTGGGTTTAAGTTAATTCCAGAGGTAGTCAGGTTGACAACCCAGAACGGACATTACAGATGGGCTTTGAAGATGCTTAGGTGAAATACATGTCACTGGTGGTTAGCTTCATTTTGGGGGGTTGGGGTGGAGGGGCTCAAGACAGGGTTTCTCTCTGTAGCCCTGGTTGTCCTGGCACTCTGTAGACCAGGCTGGCCTCGGACTCAGAGATCCTTCCACCTCTACCTCCTGAGCGCTGAGATCAAAGGCAGATGCCATCAACACCCGGCGACTCCATTTGTTTTAAGAAGCAGGGATCTGTGGTCCTCTGCTCTCTGTTCATCAGTTGACAGTTTCACACACTAGCCATGTATTAGTGAAAAGTTTCTCCTTCGATCACTCAACTCAGTCCAAACTGTAGAGACACGACGAGCCCCCGCTATCCATCCATAAACTATGCCATTCACTAATGTTCTGGGTTCTCAGGGCCACCAAGACATGCCAGTCACCTGACTGTGACAGCTAACAAAACATAAATGAAGTGCTTACAACTCTTTCTTCCCCTCTCCCGTCTGAGAGTAGAATGGCTTCTTCCTTGCCCTCTGTAGTTAGACTCAGTGGCTGTGCGGCTGTGTGACTAGCCAGTGGAGTATGAGGAGAAGTGACAGGTGTCACTTCCCTGCAGAAACTCTGAACGCCAATTCTTGCTTTACAGCAGGTCTCCCTTCCCTGTTCTATTGTGACTGGCAATGTTACGGTACCAGCTCCTTTGTCAGCCTGGTTCCTGGAGCCAGGTAATATAGAATCAGTTCCCTGAGACTTTTAGCAAGAGCGAGAAATAACCCTATGCTTCTGTCAGGAGCAGTGTCTGAGGTCACTTCTTACCATGGCGTAATTTAGCCTAATCTGCCTTATACAAGGCAACCCTATAAAACTAACTTTTATTGAGGCCTAACTATATCCTGAGCATTGTGATGAGGGCTTTGTATGCATTATCTCACTGAAGTCTTGTAAAAGACCATAAGGTGTGTGTGTGTGTGTGTGTGTGTGTATTATTACTTCTGTTTTATAGATGTTGAACTGGTTCCCAGAGCTAAGTTCAAACCATGCTGTTATTTAACGCTAGAATGGAATTTTAGAACCTTGTTTGCCTGGATCCAGAACCTATGGACTTAATTGCTGTCTTAGTTTAGTATGTATTTTTGTAACCAAATATCTGACCCTGGGTCTAAAATTCTAGTGGCTGGACAATGTAAACCAAGTGGTGCTGAGACCAAATGCAGTCTGGAGAGTGGTGCTAATCCCATCAGCAGGGTGGTCACACCTAGCCATGCCTCTGTTGCCTCCTGTCCTACTCAGCTTTGACTGTCAACTTGGCAGAGCCTAGAGTCACGTGAGGTAGGGGGGTCTCAACTGAGGGATTGCCCAGATGATATTGGCCTATGGGCATGTCTGTGTGCGATTTTCTTGATTACTAATTGACATAGGAGGGCCTAGCCCACCGTGGGCAGCGCCATTCCTGCACTGTATAGAAAAGCCCGCCAGCAAACAGCATTCCTCCATGGTTCCTGCCTCAGGCCCTGCTATGACAGGACTGTGACCTGGAAGCATAAGCCAAATGAATCCTCACCTCTGGTAAGCTGTTTTGGCCAGAATGTTTTATCACAGCAACAGGAAGGAGACTAGACTGACTCACTCTGGGCCCTGCCTCTTAAAGTTTATCCCTACCTTGATATCGCTCACTGGGAACCCAGCCTCTCCACACATGAATCCTTGTGCAGAAAAAAATAAAATAAAAACCATTGTTCCATATAATTTCAGGTAAAAAAAAAATTGAAATAGACTGGAAGTGCTCTGAGCGTTTTAAAAGTGGAGTGTTCAGTACCCATTAGAACTTCTTGGGAAGAGATTTATGGAAAAGTGAGAATTGCAACATGGGCAGGTGGTAGAGAGGAAAAATGGAAGCTGTAATGTTCTCTGGCCTGTTTAAAATGGAAAGGGGGAGGGAAGAGGCCTCATCTGTCTGGGTGAAATAAGGCAATACAATGGCTATGCCAAACCTGGAAATTGGTTTAGTCTACCCTTAAGAGTATCACAGTCAGAAAGGGGCGATAAGGCATTTACCCAAATTACTATCATAATTCAGGCAAGCCGGAATCCTCTGTAAACGTGTTAAGATGTACCAAAGCAAGATAAAGCAGAAGCCTCTTCTCCATGGCAGAATTGGGGCATGAACCAAGAAGCCAGCAGCAGGAGGGGCAACACAGTGACCCAGGTGCTGGACCCCTGAGCACACAGCAGCCTCCGTCCTATTCCAGAAGGTGCTGGTAGAGAAATAACCCAGACATAACTCAACTAGATTAGTGCAAGATGGCAGGAGAAATATATCTCCTGTTGCCAACAGCAATGACCAGAAGGGCTAATGGGGTAACAAAGCCATCTCAGTACATTTTTATCTGTGACATTAGTTCCATGGGATGACGCAAAACTTCTTAGTGTCCTCGGTGTGTTCAACACATGGGACAGAGTCTCGGGATCTCTCTTATCAACTTCCCAGATTCTGTTCTTGGATGTCTGGAGTATCATCCAAAACTCTTGTTTTATTGCCCAGATCCCGTGTGCTTTCAATATTGATAATCTTTGAACCTTATTTAGAAACTCGTTCCCCAATAGCATCAACGAAAACGTGTCTCTGGAACTTAAGGAAAGCCTGCAATAAAAGTAACAAAAGTGTAAGAAATAATGTGATGGGTTTTCTAAAATATATTCATATTCCTTTAAGAATTTAATGGTGAAAAAAAAAAAACGTAATTCCAAGATGGGCAAAATAAAACTGAAGTGAGGCAGTCCGTAGACTTCTAAGATTATATATGGACTTC